CACTGACTCACTCCACATACCCAGCTCATGTGCGGGGGGGATATAGCTCAGTTGGCTAGAGCGTTTGTCTCATAAGCAGAAGGTCGAGAGTTCGAGCCTCTCTATCCCCGCACTTTTTTATCCCTGTATCCTTTTTTTTATTGCGCCCTCGCCACTGCCTTCCAAATGTCTCGGTCATGGTAAGTGATCTTCTGTACCAGTAGGGGTGTCGGCGATACCTGGCTTGGGGGTCCAAGCCGTAATATCCAACTACTCTGAAGGGCACCGTTCGGAGAGCCCTTGTTGGGGAAGGTCGAGAGTTCGATCCTCTCTATCCCAGCACGTCGTCCTCCCGTTTTTTTTTTTTTTTTTTTGCTTCCGGGCGTGTGGCCTAACAACAGTTGTATGTTCAGTGGTCTTGTAAGGAAATCATTGGGTCCTGGTCTTCTAAGGATACATGTCCTTGGAATTCTGGAGTTAATAATCGAAGTCATGGATCCAGCTGCCGGGGAGGTGCTGTTGTAAAAAGCCTTTGTCCTGGACGGTCGAAAGTTCGAGCCCCTATGCCCGCACTTTTTTTTCCCCGAGTTTTTCTTTTTTTCCTTATTTTTTCCTTTTTTTTGCAAGTATGGTCAGTGGTGCTAAGAGTGTTCTCGATTCCTGGGGATGATTAAAGTGGTTGATCATCGTGGTGATCAAGATGGTTGATCATCATCCCGGTGTGACATTGTTGAGAAATCCGTCATTCGGGAGGACACAAAATATGAATTAAAACTTAACGGAAAGGAGGCATGTATAATGTACAAGAGAAATTGCTTTTGTCTAGACAAGCCTCCGGATATTTACCTCTTCCAGCAGAGGCAGCAAGAGCCCGGTACGTGCACGAGGTGAGGGTAATCTACCGGAGATTTTGACCAGAACTTTGATACCTCCAGATGTCGAACTGATAAACTCCTTCCCTTTTTTTTTTTTTGTCTCAATCCGCCTGCCTATTGTACCCGTCTTCGGTCTGTCTGTCTGACTGTCTCTTATCATTCTTCCTCCTGTCTCCTCTCTCTCTCTCTCTCTCTCTCTCTTGCGCAAAAAAAAAAAACGAATCAGATTCTGGTGGTGATCTTCTCCGTGGTATCCGGCTCGGTGTCCTTGTACTTCATGGCCAATCGAGAGGACGGCGTAACCGAGGTCGGAGAGGTCCGGCAGGGCCTGGAGTGGACCACCATGTTCTTATGGATCGTCGTCTGCCTGCTCATGGCTCACCTCACGCCGACCGTAGGAAGCGGCAGGGTGAGAACGGAACAAGATTTTTTTAAGGGTCCTCAGTCAGTATATTTATTACAGTGAGGAAAACAATCTGAGGACCTACCTTTCATTTTGTTGCGTGCAACATAAGAGTCCGTTATCCGCGCTTGCACGCATTGTTGATAATAATCTGTGTACGTGGTTACCCATGCGCATCAGATATGCGGTACTAGTAGTTGCCGCGGCGCAAACAGGTAAGGCATGTAAAGAAGGAAGCACGGTTGCTTTCCGTGTCTATTGCTGTAAGGAGGAGGAGGCAGTAGTAGGCCGTGTTTTTGTCTATCGTTTGTCTTGAGTCTCAATATTTTCGTGTCTATGGCGCCGCGTGTTTTCTATTTCATTGGTTTATTCAGCGCCTCGCCTCCACAGTGTCCCGTTGCTCGTTGGGCCTTTTTTATTTATTTACTTCTATTTATTATTATTTAGTTTTTTGTGCGTGCATACGTCGCCCGTCCTGGTCTCTTATCTCTTCTCATTCCGGGTTCTTTTTTTATTTTTATTTTTGTTGGTGCGGATCGGATCATACACCAGGCTAAGGCGCTGGAGGCGATGGTCATCCAAAATGGCGGCGGGACGGACTCCGCAGCAACACCAAACATGCCACCTACAGCCAACGCTCCAGGTTAGAGAGAGTACCACTTTTTTGCGACTGCTGCTTTTTATCGTTGTTTTGTCTTTGTCGTCATGATCGTGACCGTTTACGTCCGAAACATGATATAAGTGATGACATGAGTTTGCAGTAGTGTACCCTGTACAGGTGCGGGTGATCACACTCCCCGGAGATCGATTTTCAAAACTCCATTGCTGTGAGCGCTGATTTGAAGTGAGGTAAAAAAAACAAAAAAATGCTCGTCAACCAAGAGGGTGTGTGAATGTGCGAAACTCGACTGATACTGATATGCGCAAGGAAAGCTCTCTCGACAAGATCTTTCCAAAATCGTCCCTTTTTCGACATTGGTGTCCTCTCGGATGTGAAGCGACCGAACAGCGAAAGTCGGTCTAAGACTCAAAATTTTACGGTAGGCTTTCCGCTGACATCGGTACTACCTAAAATTAAAATGTCTTATGCATAGCACGAGTACATACGCCAGTGCCTTGAGGTAACCGTCGCGAGACTCGTGAAATTGCCATGAAAAGGAAAACGTCGTGAAACCGCCGTGAAACCGCTGTAAAAAAAGTAAAACCGTTGTGAAACCGTCGTGAAACCGCCGTGAAACCATTGTGAAACCGTCGTGAAACCGCCGTGATAAAGGGAAACCGCAGATAGAAAGTGAAACGGTCGTGAAACCGTTGTGAAACCGTCGTGAAACCGTCGTGAAACCGCCGTGAAACCGCCGTGGAAAAGTGAAACGGTCTCGAAACCGTCTTCAAACCGTCTTGAAACCGCTCTATAACCGTCTTGAAACCACCTTGAAACCGTCGTGAAACCGCCGTGAAACCGTCGCGGGTCAGGCCTGGATGAGGCCGCCAACAACCTGGCCCTGGCCATGGCAGCGGAGAGGCGGAAAGGAAGCCGTGCCGGGCTTACCAGCAGGTAACGGTGCAATAATTCGCATGTCATTCAAGATGCCGTGTTCCCCTTCGTGCCACCCGTGTTTCGGTGTCTGTTCACAACGTTGAACCGTTTCACGTCTTGCCTTGTGATTCCTTTTTTGTTTTTGTTTTGTTTTTCGGAGTTTTTTCCAAAAACTGCTTGTAATAATAGTTGCTAAATCTACGGATGAAACGATTTTTATTTGAAGTAGATTATGTTTCTTTTGGGAGTCAAATCCCCGACTTTTGGGACATTGTATGGTCTCTCAGGAGGAATTACTTCGCCTTACACATCCCCGGTGCTGCCGGTTGTCTTTAATTCTTTGTCTGTCTTTTTTTTTTTTTCTTTTGTCGTTTCGCAGTCCTTCCAAGGGAAGCCCCCCCCGCCTATCGGGCCGCAAGCCCAGCACCCCCAACGGCGGACGGCAACAACGAAGGGACGGCAACAACAACACCGACACCAACGACGGCGGAGGGGCTACTGCTACTGCCGCCACCGAAACCAACGGATCGACAGCGCTCGCCGGCAACGAGGGCGCGGAGATGATGCGCGTCTCCACTCCCACGCGGGACGGTGGCGGCGGCGGCGGCGAGGACTGGGTGGTGGTGGATGGGGAGGATGGCGACGATGACAAGGAGGACGACAGCAGGTGAGGTTGGTTGTAGGGGGGGGGGGCTACTGCTGTACACGGTGCTTTTTTTTTGTGCGATTTCGCTTTTTCTTTTTTCTGCATGTGTGGCGTGTTTTATCAGTTTTTCCGCTCCAGCTTTTCTGTTTCTTTATGCGGTGTTGCTGCGGTTAGCGGTTTACTCGTTACCCTTCTGGAGTGCCTCTGTAGAGCTTGTTACTGTTTTTTTTTTAATTCTTACGAAAACACAACAAATTCATGTCTTCCGCAGACGAGACTTTTCTCGATCCATGCGTATTGTTTCTGCTATGTAAGTCCCTCTTGGTTCTCGCGCTAAAGACGTGTTTTTTTTTTTTTTCTGTCCCCAAGGTGTTGCTGTGCGTGCTGGGACTCGTTCGCCTTCTGGATGGACCAGCGTAACACCCAGAACAACCTCCCCGTGTTCCGGCTGCTCTACTTCTCCTCGACGGTGGTTTACTTCATCGTCATGCTCGGGGTGGCGGCGGGAGGCATCAAGAGGTGGGTGACCTCTCTTCGTCTATGCATAGTGATCTCGTTGCTTGCTGCAAGATACGTTGTGCCCGTTGAGTTGGAGCGTGCGACACGCCGCACGGGGAATGTCAAAACTGAAAACGAAAGATAAACGTATAATTTACATCCCAACAACCAAGATGAGCTCAATACTAAGAGTATTCAATATCAATAGTCAGACCCGAGCCAAACACCCAAAACAACCAAAAACCCGCCGAGCAATCACTTCACCAAAATTCACACCACCAGCGATGTGGCACCTTGTATTTTTTCCGTGTATGCATACGTTCTTTCCAGGGGGTACGCGACAGCGGTGGTTGGGGTGTCGTTCGCATGCGTGTGCTCTCACTGGCTCATTTCCATCGAGCACCCCACGTCTACGATGGAAATCGTGCACCTGCTGCTGCACGCCTGCACGGAGGCGATCTCGGTGCTGCTCTGGGTCAGCGTCAGGTACTGCTGCTGGTGTTGTTGCTAATGATGTCCTCGGTGTTGACGTTGTCGTTAACATTACTGTTGTTGTTGTTGTTGGTGATGGTGGTGTTTGTAGCTGTGTTTGTTGAAGATGCTCTTAGGCATTGTCGTTGTCATTAACTTGTACTGTGGTTGCTGTATTGTAGCTATTGTTGTTGATGATGTCGTTGGTGTTGTCGTCGTTTGCTGCTGTGGGTACTGGTTCATTGCTCGGTTCCCTCTCGGAGTTGTACGCTGTCGTCAATACCCCTCCGCTGTGTTGGCACTTCCATATAGACCTATAGACGGATCTCCTACGCGCTGAGGGCTCACGAAATCGCAGGAAAGGGCATCCTGATCCTCTCGTGCGCCTACAGCCCTTTTTTTTGCGATTTCTCCGCCCGTAGACCTCGCCTCGAAGCGAGACTTGCACCTACCGATAGCCCTGTGTTGCGAGGGCTGTCCCGGCGTGCCGCGCGCTGTCGGGGCGGACTGCGTGCAGCGATAGCGAGGGCAGAAAGTCGCGTCTCCGACATCTACCGTGGATCCACCAATCACGCCCCGATTTCTTGACAGTGCAGGCCATTCATACATTCGGCATGCGGCTGACGTGGTGCGTGTGCGCTGGCTACACGCTACACACCCATATTACCACACACGACAACCAAGCCACCAAGTCTCCGCATCACACGAGACAAAGTACGCTTCTGCTGTAGTGCGTCTCCCTTTCGATCCCGGCGAAAAGCGGAGGGGTTAGCGGCCGGTGTCGTGCGCACAGCTGTCTGCAAAACTATACCCGCCCGAGATAAAAAAAAAAAATGAAATACGCCGTTGTTCCTCCGTTTCATGGAAGGACGGTACAGTACTTTTTTTTTTTTTTGCGGAAAAATCTTCTGGCTACCTACCGCAGTTTATCGTAGAGCGGCTACAAGGACACGCTCCGTATCCCACCAACACACGCCCACACACGAACTTCTACAGTCCTCTGACTCCCAAAACCCTCTGCCAGAACATATATAGCAATGCTACTGCTGCTGTGTGTTGCCTTATTTTCATAAATCGGCAAAAGTTGTCTAGTTTTCGCTGCTTTTGCTTACACCCAACGTGCTGCAAAACTACCGTAATGGTTTTGCGCTGCTTTTCCTCGCCTCCCGTAGTACTCAACCCCTATTCTCACCACCGACGGCTGTACATCAGATCACATACGAAGACAACACACCCTGGAAAGGAACTTCATTCAGCTGCAACGTCTCGCTGAGGGGGTGGATAGCACATGGGAGAGGGGGAAGAGAGAGAGACAAGCTGTTTGCTTGGTGTATCTTTCTTAGTCTTATTATTCGACACACTCCCCTCCCCCCCCGTAACCCCTCGTTTCTTACGTATAGTAGATTATTTTAGGAGTCGCTCCTCCGTTTTGTAGTGTGGCCCAGATTGAGCTTATATGTTACTTATCCCTATTTTCCTACTTTTTTCGTTGAAAGTGAGGCTTTGTTTATTAATACATAATAACAAATTTCTTTCTCCGAGTAATTAAATACTCTCTGTCCTCCGGCCGTCGCATAATGTACAAATTTATTCATTGTGCGTCTCTGCTCTTCGAACGAACGAAAACAAAAAACTTTTCCCCTCTTCGCAACATTTCTTCTTCGTATCTCTCATTCATTTCAAAACTCCACCCGAACACACTTGCCATCGCCATCCAACCTACTGTACGAGCGTAGCGGCGACCCCGAAGCGGTAACCGCGAAGCGGTACACGGCGAAGCGCCCTTGTAGTTCTATACACGCTCGGTCACGGATTCGTTGTCGCAGGGCCAAAACGTTTGCGTCTGCTGATACATTTCAACCGGAACAAACATCATGGCATTTATCACTTTTAGGCGCATGGAAGGCGTGATGGAAGGCGTGTCGTCCTTTTGCACGTCTGGTCAATCATGAGTTGCGGTTGCTGTCTGCTTGTGTTTCCCCCCCGCGAAACCGCACGCTGCACCGAACCGCGTCCAATCACACCGCACCGCGTGACCAACCTGCACTGCGCTTCACTGCAGGGACTGGACCCAGGCTGTGTACACGCTCAGCGCGTTCTTCGCCGTGTACCCGTGTCTCTTCTACGGTATTCAGGTGAAGCAGATGTAGACGTAGAGTCTTACAAGTCTTTTTGTGAAAGAATGGCAACTGCAGATTATTATTTTTTGCTTTTTTTTTCATCAAGGATGATTTTTTTCACTTGTTGGCTGCTTTTCGCAGATTTTCCTCCTGTATTAGTATGCTCTCAGGTAGGTTTTTCGTCTCCATCGTGGTGAAAACAGCGAGGGTTAGGGACGTACGTCGGCGGCGGGGTTGGGTCGCGGTACTTTCGACACATGAAGCGTGTCGACGAAAACGAAACGATAAGATAGATGCTGCAGACTTCGCCCGCTGGTGTAGCCTTTAATCGACACTCAACCGTACTCAATTCGTTTCTAGCCCCCTCTCCGCGAATGTTTCGCTGTAAGTCGAAGACACACCGCCTATCTTGAATGAATGTGTTTGTTGTGCGCCAACGTTTTTTTTTGTTACGGCGGTGCGACTATTCATACGCAGGCACTCAAGCTAGGCCTTCACCGAAAGTTCTCGGACCACCTGGGCCTTGTGAGGGAGGCGATGAAAATCTTCGTGCGGTCATCGGTGCTGCTCATGGTCCTGGTGAGGTTGTTTTTCGCTTGTTTTGACAAAGCGAGGCTCTCATATTTCATATTTCCGATGCAAAACGCCACCCCTTAATAATTTATGTTTTTGGGAAAAATTCTCACGGCTTAGTTGCACCAGGAGAAAACGTTGATAACGAACGTCTTGTTTTGGGCAACCCTCACGGTTTAGTGTCACCGTGAGGAAAACCATCACGGCACGTTTAGAGTGTACGAGGTGAGGTCCAAGTCAATACTATTTATTACGTAAAAGCACATAAATTAAAACATGAAGGGGTGGTGGCACATTCTGTACAACTGCTGCTGATACGTACAGCTTTATTCTTGGTAAGAGCTGCTTGCTGCTACTACGGGGTCCATGTGTTCGTGTTTTCCCCATCCCATTTTATTCTGACGCCAGCCTACACCAGCCGGAGTCTCACAGGAGGAAATTCCCTCCCCTTTCACGCCCCTCCCCGGCCTTGCTTTTGCAGATGTACCTGGCGTTCGAGTGCATCGGGTGCCTTAACTCAAGACCGGAAGCGGATTGCGCGGCCCTTCTGTACGCTAACACACAGGTACAAGTCCTAAAAAGGTGGTAGTTCAAATTATCAAGGTTTGGTTTTACCTCAAGAGCATGTTTGCAGGACAGGTTTGTTTAGGCCGCAGACAAAGGCGTAGACGACAACAAACTCAATTTTTCGAAACAAATCGAATTCCGATGCCGTTTATATTGGGGGTCGAAATGCTATTACTGACTTGACGTGGCAAACTGTCCGGTTGAAGCGAGTTGAAGTGTGTGTTTTCGTCCGCATGCATGCTGGGCGCCAGTAGACACCTTTCTGAAAATGTTTGGCGCAGCAACCGGGGTAACGCAGGAGGAAGGTGAACATTTTTTTTATGTCCAGCGCGGCACAAAAAGCCAGTCTCTTGCTCCGTGTATTTTCTTGTGTTGTATGCTCGAAAGCAGGTATTATGTTGTCATCATAGGAAGGTCCTTCACAATCCTGTACGTGATTGTTTTTCCCCGTCTGTGTACTCTACTCTGGGCGACTGGTCCCCAACCTACGTGGCACCAAGGCTCTTTGTCATCGCGTTGTTGGCACGGTGTGCGTTACTCCTTGGCTCCCTCTCTTGTCTGTGTCGACTACAATACGCCGGTGGTGCCGTGCTTCTCCGCTGCTGCTGCTGCTGCTGCTGCTGTTGTTGTTGTCTTCACATTATGAAACCATTCCAGTCTCCGCTCAGTTCCTTCTAATATCCGTACCTGACGCGGGCGCTTTCCGTGGTCACAGGCTACCTACCCAATGTAGGGTACATTCACCGTTCCAGAACAGACTCCGCTACACTGCTGCTGCTATTCCACCTTGCTGCTCTGGTAAACTACTTGGTTAAGTTTCCTAGAAATCAGACCCCGCTACTGCTATGCTTCTACTTATTCCGCCTTGCTGCTCTGCTAAAACTGCTTGGTTTAGGTGGGACTGTCGGTGGTTCTCGGATTCCTGTCCTTCCTCGGGCTGATCGTGATGCAGGACATCACCTCGAGGCATTTCTTGTCGCTCAGCTTCACGTGGCCCCAGGTGATGCGAAGGCTACAACTGAAGAAACAACGTTTTTTTTCGAGCTTTTCTAAGAAGACTGTACGCCGCGGCAGTGCGAGGTGACCTCACATCTGACTGATAGGGGTGTTTCCCCACGTTTCGTGCGACACATGTTGTCTGTCTTTCTCCGTATGAATGTCTGCACGCGTTGTTATGTTAACGTCACCTCCAACACGAAACAATCGTTGCGATCTCTGCTCAGTATCTTCTAGCATCCGCATTGGTCCAACTGACGCGGCGGCCAATGTGGTTGCAAACTAACGCCCCCGAAAGGGTGCCATTAAAAATTCGGGAAACTAAATATTGCTGGCTGTTTTTCGGTGGTTCGTGTTATCAGGTGGCGGTGCTGACGTTCAGCCTGGTGGCGGTGGGGTTGTGCATCTTCAGCCTGGCCAGCAGACACTTCAGCAAGCTCACCACTGACCTCTGGGAGCACATGGTCGAGGTAAGCTTTGTGTACCCTCGTTCTTTGACAAGGCTACACTGCCGTTTTGCAATCAATTTGCTAGTGCTGCTGCTGCTGCTGCTGCTGCTGCTGCTGCTGCTGCTGCTGATGTTGCTGCTGCTATCTCTTCGCCGACAAGGATCATAATCATTATCGCTGTTCGATGGCGACTATCAATCCTCAAGCCTTTTTGAAGCCTTTTTTGTTGCAGTTTTTTTTCCTTTCTTGTTTTGTGTCGTCCGCACTTTCACGCTGTCGGTCGCAGTTGCTGCAAGAAAGTGAGGACGGCACGAAGTTGAAGAAAGGTTCTAGGTGATGTCGAAATGGCCGGTCCTCTTGCTGATGCTGTCGATTGTTGTTGCTTGTTCTCAGCAGTTGGCTTCTGTTCATTTAGCGCGTTGTTCCCTCCCCGTTAACCGAGCCCAACTAGTTTTGGTTGCCTCGATCGCCCCAAAAAGGTTTATCGTACCGGGTTAAAAAAACAGACGTTTTCAGTACTATCACGCATCCTCAGCATTCTTTGTCCGGACCACTTTATATCAGCCCTCACGGCATTTCTGCCGGATGTAGGAGCTGCAATCCGTGGTTCACGAACATTGTCTTGATTTTTTTTTATTCAATATATCTCAGTTGGCGACGCTCTTCAGCTGGTACGCGGCCCTGCTAATCCTGTGGATCCGACGGCCATGGTACGACACAGCCTGGGGGGAGAACGACAGCATGAGCCTCAACGAGGCCGATGAGGAGGAGGTGCGATGTTGCCGTGTTTTCTTTTGAGTCTTCTAATGCCCGTATCGTACAGGAATGGATGTTGTTGTAACGTTTCGAGCGTTCTGACCTGTTTTCGCCTCCTCCCTCCTGCTTTAAGGTACAGGGACATGTTTACGTGGTTCCAACTTTAGCCCATGAGAACGAGGTTTGAAACAACTTGCTGGGATGGATTTAGTCGCACCAGCCGCCAGGAAACTGAATCTGATATGCTGAACCAACGCGAAGCAAAGCAAAGAGGGCACGGAGATTGCCTTATAGTTGTTTTTGAGTTGTCGCCTGTTCAGCGCCCCACGGCTGTCAACGCAACACCACAACACCGTTCGTCTTGTACAATTCAGAGGGTATCCCACCTCAAGGTGGCTGGCCTCAAGGAATGGATGTTGTCCGCGTGAACCCCGTCTCTACCAGAGTTACATGAATGAAGAGGACACAAGATTGGCTTGGCTTTAAAGAATACGTTTAACGAATAAACCCAAGAACACAACCAGCCCGCGTGATCCCGCCTCTACCAGGTGACTGGAATGAAGAGTGGCACAAGGCTGGCTCAGAGAATACGTTTAATGAGTAAACCCAGCTGTGCAACGAGCATGGCACGATTAACAGCGGGAGGTTCTGTCGTTCTGCTCCTGCTCTGCCGTGGCTCTGTGCTCGTCGGTGTCTACGACATGCTGCGTTTTGCTTCGGTCATTTTTGACCTTAAATCTTGTTTCCCAATCGAACAGGCGGGCATCGGAGAGGACGACGACGACGAGGAGGTGTGGGAAGCAGGTTCGGCTGGAGACGAGATCTCAGAAGACGCGGCACTATCGGCGGCAGAAAAGGAACAGGGGCGAGAAGAGACCCCCGAGTGGGCTCGAGTTCCGACAGACGCCGGCGGTAACCCTGCTGCCGACCTCGTCTGAGCCGAGAGGGAAGCCTATGGGCACTACTACCGATGAGCCACGAACGCATCGGAGGCCGGAGAGCCGAGGCAAACCATGTCGCCCCGATGATTACGTCAATAATAACGTTTTGTTCGCTGTGAACAACGCGGTTTCCCAACCTAAAGGCGGTACCTTATAATGTTTTTTTTTTTTTTACTTTTTTCTTGGGAGAATAGACTAATAGAGGAAACGGGAGGACGGCGCCGGTTCCGTCACTACACGCAACCGTTAGCCTTTACTCATGAGGCAGCGGCTTCAAAAGTTTAAGTGCGTACGTAGGCAGCAACCGCGCATCCCATACATGGCCACTGTAGTGCATTTTGATGCGTTGATGCAGGCGGGGTGTGTGTGTGTGTTCTTCACATGTTGTAGCGTCGATAGGGCTAAACGCCTGACCAATGAAAAAATCGGCGGTATTGTTTCTGAAGAAACAAACGCTTCCTTGCTGGGCGAGTTCCTCCGGTTGGAGGGCAGCGGCGAATATAATAGGCGGCAGGGATGCCTGTGTTCGTGTCTGTTTGTTTACTTGCACTCACACCCTTGGCGTTCCATCAGTTTCTATAGCTCGGACCGAGCTCAGTTGGTTGTGTGTGTTTGCTTACTTTGCACTCACACTCCTTTCCGTGTCATGAGTTGACGGCACGGACCGAGGTAGTAGGGTTTGTTCCAAACGGGTAGGCATGGCGCCGGCTGCAACCTTTGCTCAGCGAGCGTTGAAAAAGGCTGACGGTCTAGGAGGGAAGGGGTCCCTGTTTGAAGGTGTTACGATGTCTGTTGCTGTGTGGCGATGTGTACAGGCAGGAGAACTACATGGGGCTGCTTGTGAAACACTGGTAAATACTTCGGTCGTGTGCGGGAGGTCGGTGGCTATGTAGCGCTGCATGCATTCATTCGTAGTCTTTCTCTGTCTTGGTTGCGAGTTTGTCCCACGCAATGGTACCCTCGTAGTCCTCCCTTTCTGAACTGCTGTAGCGTCGGCAGGGTATATCCCACCGCTGGGAAGGAGACGTATTGCGTCTCTCGTGGAATGTGGAATGGGGAGAAGCGCGCGAAAACTGCTGTGAATCCAAGTCCACTTCGACTAGCGGGCCCTGCCAAAGTTCGGCCTCCGCTGTGTTTTAGGGGCCTCAAGTACACGGCAGCTGTGGGCATGGGAGAAGCGATTGTATTGAACACGAAAGTGTGAAGACGATGCTTTTTTTTAGCTCCTTTCCAGTATCACGGCGTTTTTTGTCGGTTGGCGGGTGTCGTGTCTTCTTTGTGGACAGGTTTGGATGGATTGACCTCTGGCCACTCGCTGTCTAGGGTACGGGCGGTTTTATTACGAGGCTGTTGGTCTCTGTCGTAGAGATTGTTTGATGCGAGGGCATTCGCTGACGAGCCACACAGAACCATCAAAATACAGGTCGTTTGTCTTTTGGTAAGGGATTCTCTGCGGATACATACGACACCAACTAATGCCACGACGGACATTAGGGGGATGAAGGTGGTTGGTGAACGCCGGTTCCTTGGTGAAAAGGAAGAAAGGAAGGTATCGAATGCCCACACAACGCAGAGCGGGGAGGGGGGTAGCTTTGGGTGCGCAAGCTTCCAGGTCCGGGCAATTATCGTCGAAAGGGGGAAAGTGTCTCAAAGTTGATGCCGAAGAACGCAGCTCCCCTGCAAACGATATGCGGTTTCTTTCACTTGCTGTGGACACTCCGTCTAGTCCATCACGGTTTGCCAAAACCTTGGCGACACTAGATTGCTGTTTTGCTTGCTCGTGGTCGTTTGAGGCACGACCGATCGTCACTGTTTACTCCCCCCAAAAGCCGACGACAGACCTAGACCACTCACGAAAAAGGGGGGGTAGACACACAGCCGCTTCCAACTTGTAGACCCCCCCCCCCCCCCTTTGCCGACACTGAAAGAGCAAAAAAAATACATAGCCAGCCCTGGCAATTTCTCGGTCACACGCTGGAAGAGAATCAGAAGACATAGCAGTTTGTGGAAAAAGTCTTGTTTAACTCTGCGACCCTCACTCACTTCGACAGCAGTTTCGAGATGATAAAATTGTCTGCAGAGGTTCCCACGCACGTACGCACGCACGCTGTTGAGCTGAATCAACGAGGAATATGGAACATCTCACCAGCTTAGCCTACGCCCCTCAACAGCCTATTAGGAAAAATACGTAACAACATATAGAATCCCTGGGCCCTGTTCGATCCCCTTAGGCATGGCCTTAGGATGACGGATGAATCGTCTAGCTTTTGACGAAGAGGAAATGGATTGCAACTAGCGGACCTTTCGAAATGTATACAGGTACGTATACAAAACTGATGCCCGTCAGATTGAACGGGATGTCAACCACAAGCAAAACAAATTCCGGCACTGCTCGGCGTTACAAACGATTGGTGGCTCCGCTTGATGTTGTAGACACTCAGCTCCTGACGACCAAAATGCCACCGCAAATAAACATACACACTACGAGGTGGCCATAAAATCTATGTACGAAATTCTTCGTGCTTCTTACATTTCGAGGTACGATCTTGTCAAATGAGTCCGCTGACAATCGTCCTGTTGAGCACCGACAACGCCAACCCGGCCGACAAAAAAGCAAAGGTGCTTTGTGGCACGCGGTAAACCGTTCATCGTGGCTCGGAAACCCTGCGGGCACGACCAAGGCGAGGCCGAGTGTCGTTCGGATAACTTCGACCACAACCGCCAGAAGAAACAAGCCGTGGCTCACGGCCTAGTGCACGGCAGCAGCGGAAGCGGCAACCAAGGCATAGCTGCTGCAGCACGTCTACCATCTTATAGTCGGAGTCAAGGCCAAGCGACCGCCGCTTTTTCGAGCAGGCAGCTCTGGCGCGGCCCCGCACCCGAAATCTTTTTGCAAAAAAAACAAATTCTCGCAACAACACCAGCGCAACGCCCATCACCACACATTAGTACACGGAGTGCGGCAGCAGTGTAGAGGTGCCGGCGGGATGGTCTCCACGTCAGCCCAAGGTATCTACTCTTCGTCCTCAGAACTGCTACCGCTCTCTTCCTCCCCGCTGCTGCTGCTCCCGCTGCCTTCTTCGCCGCTACTGCTCGCATTTGCGGCTTCCTGGCGGTAGGGAGGGAAAGGGGGTTGTGAGGGGCGGCGCGGGGGGGGGGGGGGGGGGGGGCTCCTGACAAGGCCCTAAACTACCGGTTAAAAAAAGGGAAGGGGCCCGGGACCCTTTTAAACGGGGGGGGGGGAACTTTTTAAAGGGAACCCATT